GGCAGAACGGGCGCTGGCGCCTGCTACTTAGACGGATGCGCTCAACAAATGCGATTTGTTTCTCCCATTCGCAGAGTTGCCGATACCAATATGTCATATTTCTAAGAAATCTAAGTCTACCCAAATTTCGGGAAAAATAGCTGCGGATTCCACATAAGAGTATTCCAAAAATGAAAAAAGTCCAAACTATTAAAATTGTATTAATGTTTCATGGTTCAAATCATATTTTTCATGTTTGTATATTGTTGTATAAATGATTTTGTAATCCCTATTCTTGTTGCCAGTAGAGATACAACAGTATTGAGAGAAATCATGGACCACTAGATAGGGCTACAACTACCATATGACTATCAAATAGTAGTGATAAACAGGGTTTGTTTATAGCACAGTTGCCTGGTGTGGCGAATTTGCGCCATAGGGGCGATTTGGCAACTTTGAAGGACAACTATAACGGGAACTATGGTGCCCGGTATTCGGGAATCTGGCAATACCTGATGATTCCTAACGTTTATTACGCCAGATTGTTTGCTGATTTGCGCAGTACAACATGACAATCAACGTGACTGAGCACCTGGTAACCCTGGTTTAAGGTGTTATATTTAAAGAACTTGGGGCAGTTAGGTATCTAGGTCACATTTTTTAATGTATTTCGAGAAATCCGTAATGTTCAGTAAATACTAGATCACGTTTCTTGCTTAGTTTGCTGAAAATTCTACAATAGACGTACATTTTGAGAAACAGAGATTTGGTGACGACAAAATCGTAAAAATATAACGCATTTTCGTAAAATAATTTCTTGGTTGAAAAGACTGTGGCTTGATGACCCATTGAACGAGAATAGTGTCCCGCTCCGCTTTGAATATTCGAAACACTATACTCCAGCAGCATTCAGCTTCAATGTTATCTTTATGAAGTTCTAACGTCTAGGCCATGCTGATTAAAAGCTTGAATGAATCAACACTTAACTCTAAATTCCCCACAATTCGGGAAGCTCTACTCAAATTGCCAACACAGCGTATCTGCCTATTATTCTCATTCGTGATACAGGGCTGCGGTCTGCTGCAAATTTCAGTATGCGTTGAGTCGATAGAAGAAGTACAGTAGATGCGCGCATTATGCACCAGTTCGATTGGACGTCCTGTGAACCGATTTCGGTGATTTCGAGATTTCACGAAATCACCTAAATCACTCTACTTATTTTTATGAATGGATAATTGGTTTTGTAGCAATAAAGGTTGCCTCTCATAACAAAAATAAGAAGATACCCACTCTAACAAAAAATAGTACACTCTTAAAAATGTGTAACGAAAATAAAAAGATATTCTAACAAAAAAATAAGTTCTCGAAAATAAAACGCAATAATGAACACAAATGTTTCAAATGGTCCTTCACAGCTGGGGCTCAAAAACGTCTCCTTCATTCAATGAACAGTATGTCAGGCGGTTATAAAACTCCTGACGAACTCTCAAGAGGGTACAAGGCTGTATTTGCCCGAGCGCTTCAACGATTTTCACCTGTAGGTTATGCAAATTGTCTGCTCTCTCATTGAAAGTGTAAACAGTACTTTTCACATAACCCCACAAGAAAAAATCATTGGGCGCTAGATCGGGTGATCTAGGAGGCCATTTTATTGTTCCGTTACCGCCAATAATCCGGTGGCCGAACACACTTTCAAGGTAAGTGTGTACAAACGCCGCATTATACGCCGGGCATCCATCTTGTTGGAACCAAATATTAGCGAGATCAATGCCAAGCTGCCTAATTGCAGGAACAATCTGCGTCTGTAGTAATGCCAAATATTTTGCAGCCGTAAGAGTTCCATCAATAAAGAACGGTCCGATAATGTTATTACCTAGAATTCCTGCCCACACATTCAGTTTCTGTGGATACTGCGTGCGGACGGGAATACTGAGGTGTTTATTTTCCCGAGACCAATACCGAACGACTGAAGGATTGTGATGACCTGGAGAGGGAATGTGGATTCATCAGTAAACAAAATGTTACCAATAAAACTTCGATCCCTGTTCGCCTTCTCCATGACCGTTTCACAAAACTCCATTCGACGGTATTTGTCTAAAGGAAATATTTCTTGAACCGTTCCAACCTTGAAGCTATGATAGCCGTTGCGATGCAAAATATTTCTTGTTGTTCTGGGTGTGAGATCGACTATTGGTACCATTTCAGCAATTTTTCTGCTTGAGCATGGCTCAGATACTTCTGCAGCGGCACAAACAGCAGTTTCGATCTCCTCCCTTTTCTCGCTAATTTTTGGTTTCCAACCTCCAGGGTGCATGCAGCTATGGCACTTATGTAAGCAGCCCACCCTCTTGAATTTTTCGTAGGTATTTATAACCGTTGCGTGAGACGGAATTGGCCGATCTGGGAAGCGTACCGCAAATAATTCAACTACCGCGCGTGCTGAATTATTCTGGATGTACCATTCTATCATTTGAAACTTTTCTTCTTGCGAGTTCATTTTTAAGATATTTTGGATTAAATAAAGACGCACCTTTCCTACACAAAACCCAACCGCAGAGTGAGTCATGAATCCCTTATCGCACTTGACAACGGCACGCGCGTTAACGGTAGGAAATATGTACGAATAGCGATGAAAGTAGACGAGCCGATGCGCTGTTGCCAAGAAATGATTTCCCATGTATAACAATGGTTTTTCCTAAGGTGTAGATAAGATATGAAATGAAGTTGTCATGAATATTGACATTCGGCACTATAGATCTCAAAACCACTCTCAACTAGGAAGCCACTTCGATTGTCTTCCTATTCCATTCAATAAACAATAAAATTGCGTGTGAAATTCCTACCACACATACGGTTTCTGCATCCAATTTGCAATAATTTGTTCCAGTTTATTATAGCCCATATCGATTTTTTCCTTAGTCGGTCCGGAGGCAATGTTGACGTTGTGACAAAGCATATTTTAGCTTTGCTGCGACCGAACGGTATGAGTATGCAATAAATTTTGCTCCCGCTGTGCAAACTTAGACGAGGTGTAAAAATATAACTTTAATATAAATGTAAATAGGGTTCTTCGGGTGACCAGTTTACATCGACGGTGCGTGGGTAGGCGGTAATATTGCGGCAGCCTTCGATAAAATTTGTTTAGTATTACGTTTCGCGGATGAGTTATAAAAAGACAAGACAAGGTATGCAGCAGTCATGTTTGGTGACCACAGATTACACAGCCCCACAAAAGCAAATAAGGGTCGAAATCCATGAAACATGCCATGATATTCCTGAGTATTTTTTGACCCAGGACCAATAAAAATAATATCTTGGTAATCGAAACGTCAGTGAACATCACTGAATTGTCATTTGCGGTTTTACCTATTAGCGGCTATAGGCGTTTACGCATATACATTAATTGTCTACGTCTCGATGTATACAATGCGTATACAATGTATGCAATGTATACATTGCGTATACAATGTATGCAATGATGAATACTATGTATAGAATAGCATAAGTGAGGTTAGGTTTATTTGCAAACGTCAGAAAGTTGGTAAACAGTGAATCGACAACTTAAAGAGAATATGGTTGGACGCTCCAAGAATAAAGAAATCGATGAACTAGGGTTCATTTGTTATTCTTAGTTTATTTAAAACTGTATCTTTGTATACGTATATAAATAAATATTATATATTTTTTCATTATCTATAAACTGCTTCCACAGTCAAACCAATAATCCAATATTGCAGAATTTGTATCTAACCTCAACTTTCAGTTCCACCTAAAATCGGAGAACCATTACAATCGACCTGGAATTGATCCCAAACAGATACGGCAGAAATGTGTACTTGGGCGTAGAATACAAGGCATTGCACCAATTTACAGTTGTGTTCTGTGCCCTTCATCACTGTTGTGGCAGGCAACGTGGTGTATGGCACACTCTTTTTACACAAGTATACGTGTATATCAGGACGTATATAATCACCATTGTATACGCGTATACAATGGTCTATATCATTGATTCCCAAAGTGGTCTATATCGACCCCTAGCGATATATGACAACCTGCAAAGGGGCTACATCAGCGAAAAAAAATTTGGGGGTCCACGATATGAATATGGGGGTCCACGATAGTGGATCTCAACACATACACTGATAGTACCTAGTTACTTACATCATACTATCTTATAATATCAAAACATATACATTATTTATAAAAGTACCTATGCAGTAAAAAAATTATTATATATGTTTATAAAATTGTGTAAGTTGTAGGATGTTGGTATTCGCTTTCGCTTTGTGGTCGCAATACATTTTGAACTTGTAAAAACCTGAGAGTCGCAGTCTCAGAGCTTCGCTACCTTGCACTGACTTGTTCAATTCGTCACTCTATAAATACGAATGTGGGACAAATACGTTTATTCGTTTCCTGAATCTTGAAAAGGAAAGTGCTAAGAAAATATTTTAAAAAATATAAACATATAGTATATCACACAAATTATAGTGAGTCAGTGTTATTTTGTTTGAGAGTGCTGGAGAAAAGTAAGTACACTATTTTTTATTAAATTTTAGTTTTGTACTCGTAGTTAGCAAAGATAGATAAATTACGCCAATCATGACTTTAGTTATTAGTAGTTAAATATTCAATCATGCAAAATTACACGAGTACTCCTCAATAGTTTCTTTTTGAAAGTTTTAGCAATCGGTGATATAATTACAGTGCAATCTCCGTAATTCGAGCTAATTGTTGCAAGAAGATGTTCGAATTATGGAATGTTTTCGGAAAAATCTGTCTTATTTAAATAATTTAATTTTGCCGACAGATGACTGATGCCATGTCCGAATCTAAAAAGAAATGTAGACAGTACAGTGTTGATTATTTGAAATTTGGCTTCATTCCATCATTGCCGGACAAACAATCGCCTATGTGCCTTTTATGCAACAAAGTTTTGGGCAATGACGCTATGAAACCATCTAAACTGCAAGATCATCTGAGAATATGCCACCCTGATAAAACAGAGAAAGATTTGAAATATGTACTTTCAAACACTCAAAGATAAATTTCAGAAGAGACCTACACTGGACAGAATGTTCGCTTCGACGTCACAAAGAAATGATGATGGTTTGCGGGCGTCTTACAATATCTCGTTACTTATAGCAAAATCCGGAAAAGCGCATACTATCGAAGAGAAGTTAATTTTGCCAGCCGTTGAAGAGGTTTTAAGAACTGTTTTACACAAACCTGCATCTGATATCATTAAAAGAATTCCCTTAAGCAACAATACTGTTGAAAGACGTATTGATGAAATGAGTTCTGATATTGAAAGCTTCTTATGTAACTATTTGCAAACGACCCATTTCTCTATACAACTGGACGAGTCAACTTTGCCTGATAATGCAGCATTATTATTGGCATATGTTCGTTTTATTATGAATCAAGAAATCTACGAAGAATATCTTCGCAAGAACTTTGATAACCCACACAAAAGGTGAATCAATATTTCATGTTTTGAAGGATTACTTCATTGAAAAAGCAATTCCTTTATCAAATATAATATCAGTAGTTACAGATGGAGCACCTGCCATGGTTGGACGTTATCGTGGATTTATAAGCTATTTCAAACAAAATGTGTCATTGATGTTAGCAATACATTGCGTCATCCATCGACAACATTTAGTTGCTAAAAATTTGAGTGTTAGATTGCACGAATCACTTCATTTAGTCATTGATGCAGTAAACCGAATCCGAAGCAACGCGTTGAATACGCGGTTATTTGCGCAGTTGTGTGAAGAAAATGACGAACACTTTCATCACTTACTCCTTCACACTGAAGTAGGCTGGCTGTCGCAAGGCTTATGTTTGACAAGATTTTTTGCACTTTTTGAGACTATTTTAGAATTTCTGGATACTAAAGATAAAATTTTAAAAGAAAATTTAATGAAGAGGAAAACAGACATCGCCTATTTAACAGATTTGTTTACAAAATTTAATATGGTTAATTTGCAATTACAAGGCGACAGTTTAAATTTGATTAAAACAAAGTCCATCTTATCAGCGTTTCTTGCCAGAGTTAAACTAATGAAGCAAAATATTGGACGGGGCGAATTTTCTCAGTTCCCCAATTTATCACAGACAAGCTGCCAGGAAGACGACGTTTCAACTTACGTTCAACATTTAAATGCCCTCTATTCAGATTTTGAATCTAGGTTTGAGGATATTTTGACTATGGTAATACCACCGTGGATAATTAATCCATATGGTGACATAGAAGAAACTAAGTACAAACGAAGAACTTAAGGTTCAGTTTAAAAACGGATATCAGCAATTCTGGCTGCAAAACAACATACCCGATACTTATCCCGTATTATGGAATATATCGAGGAAATTTTTTATTTCCTTTCCATCGTCATACCTAGTGGAAAGGGGGTTCAGCGCTGTTACCAATCTACTAACGAAAAAAAGAAACATACTGGACATCATTAGCCGAGGAGATTTAAGATTAACCCTTACAAAATTGACGCCAAATGTTGATAATTTATTATTAAGGCATCAGGTTCATCCTTCTCACTAAAAATATTGACTTATTGCTTATGTTATTTTATTTATAGTTTATTTTATGTTTATTGGTGTGATAATGAATTTTAGTGTGTACCTATCCTTGAATTTTCAGAATAATTAAAAAAAATATTTTCTATAAAAAAATCAATGCGGGGGCACTTATTCCCAATGCGGGCACTTATTGGTCAGACACCTGTTTATTTAATGTTACGTATATTTTACATAACAGATACAAAATTTTATTTTGAGTAGTTTTAATTTAAATTCAATTAATAAATGTATAAATTAACATGTGTTTTTACTTTAAGTTTTTAACACTAAACTTCACTACAGTTAGAAATTTGCAGGAAATCAATATCAGGTAAGTAGGGGGTCTACCCAACACGGAAAAACATGGCAAGGGGTCTACGACACAAAAAAGTTTGGGGAACTCTGGTGTATACAATGCGACCATCACTGCCTATTAGCTAGATTAAGAATGATTAAAACTATGGCCTGAGGTTTAGGCGTTACATATTTAGGAGTTATATCGCACATCCAATTTTGATAAACCTGTCATCACGAAAAGTTCCCGACCGGGCCGTTCCGACTGGCACATCTAGCCACACAGACCGTAAATCATCCACCATGTTATTTATCAGTAGGTGCAGAGCAATTTACGAAAACGCAAGTCGAAAGGCGGGAGCTGAAGCCAGTTGGTTGGAAACGGTCAATTTTCGAAATGATAGGAGCTGGCTCTATAATAAAAAGACCAGACGATTGCTTAGGTATAATTTAGTAGTTTAGTAATGGCAGGGTAGTAAATGCGAACGGTCACTGTTGGCAATTAAATCAAACTGATGGAAGGTGTTTCGTCTAACCAACGATGTTATTAAAATAATTAGAGGATTGATTGTCCAGCGGAATGGAAGGGTTTTTAACTGTGCACGATGCGGTACGATGTATGGATGCATTTATCGGGTGGCGATTCCAAGAAGGAGGTAAAAAGTATAGGGCATGCATTTTCTTTTGCATTTTGATTAATAGTTATGGACGAATAAACTGTTTTCATGATATCTCATCAATAATTCAAGATGTAAGAAATTGGCCGGAAAGCTGAAAGCTACGGAAGACCAATGCCTGCTCGAAAGCGCAATAGTAATAAAAACCAACCACGCAAAACATACGATATTCATTTTTATTGCTACAATCAGTAAAATTAAACAGCCAATGCTTCTTATTCGACACTCTATCAAAGATAAAGTAGAATGATAATTTTTTGTAATAAGGTTTGAAGTCAAGGTAAATCACAAAAAAAAAGTTTCAGTCATTATCACTGAATTAGTAAATACAATTTACTAAAGACGAATTGAAGTTTCTGAATAGGACTTTTCTGCATTTGCCGGCTTAAGTCGGTTGTTTTGCTACTCTTCCTACAATGTCGTCTTTAGGAGATATCTCATTGTATACGCTGCTTTGCATGGTTTTTGATGGTTCCGTCATCAGTGTACGAAATAAGTAAGCAAATCGACTAACTGAACCATGTGTGGTTTATTACGTAAAAAACCTATATAATGTCAAAAAACTGACAAAATGTCAACAATATTCTTCCTATTAATAGTTTATTCCGCGTTTGCTCGCCATAAGGGCGGAGATCGTCACCAAAGGCGTCATCTATCGAGGAAAGACTCAAAGACACGTCAGTTCCCAAGAATGCTTTGTTAGTTGCAGAATGCCCAGTCTGTAGAATATATCTCTGAGAAGATGTGACAGAACGAAAATTGGTTGAGTAGCAAAATCGCATCCGGATGATTGTATATATTGGTCTGTATGCAGTCTAATCATATTTCCCCGAAATAATTGTAAAATCGGTACTTCAATTTTTGTGGGAAAACTTTTTATTTGACAACAAGGAATGAAAAAACGTGTTTTTTGGAATTCAATCGAAAGTGTTGGCATGAACGAAAAACCTGCAAAACGAGACTACACGTAAAAAGATCCGACTAATAGCAAAAATATCATGGCCGAAAAACGAGGCAAAACGCAAGTTTTGGCACTTGATAGTAATGCGACGATAATTTTACGCAACTTCTTGAGATTCTTAAAATCCGTACGATTCATACTTCTAAATAACAACAACAAGATTGGATTATATTGGTCAAGTAGTTTTTTTAGAATTTCTAATTGTTTATCCCAAAACACCTGTTTTCCGGCCATCGCTACTAGTTTATTGAGCAATACACAGGGTTCATTCAAAGAGCATTTAATAGTAAAATACACGTCGTTACCTTGCCGATATGAAGCGCAAACCATTTCGAAAGATAAATTTCGTATTTGTGAGTAATTGAACAAATGCGCTACGATATTCGAAAAATGTACGTTACTATACACATTTTAAAACTAACCGGATGTGTGTATCATTTTTTGTTGCGAATTGCTCACAAAAACGAGATGTTTGGATTTGTTTAGAAGAAAAAACGAAACCCATCATTTTTTTTGCATAAAAATAACATTTATCTTCCGGAATGGTTAGCAATTCATATCGGCAAGGTAAACTAGTGTATTTTGCTATAAAATGCCCTTTGAACGAACCCTGTTCATTGCTCGAATAAAGTAGTAGTGATTGCCGGAAAACAGGTGTTTTGGGATAAACAATTAGAAATTTTCAAAAACTACTTGACCAATCTACTCCAATTTTGTTTGGTTATTTAGAAGTACGAATCCTACGAATATGAAGAATTTCAAATATCTGCGAGAAACCATCGTCACATTACCAACAAGTGCCAAAACCTGCAGTTTACCTCAGTTTTCGGCCATAACTTTTTTGCTGTCAGTCGGATCTTTTTACGTATGATCTCATTTTGTAGATCTCATATATACCAAATAATATTGTATGAAGAGTTTTTTCGTTCCTGCCAACACTTTCTATTGAATCCCAAAAAAACACGTTGTCGAATAAAATGTTCCACAAAAATTGGTGTACCCATTTTATGCGTCCATGTTTTGAATACCCCCTTGAGCAACTTGCAGCAAGTAAACCAGACTTTACAATTATTTCGCAAACCAGGGGCATTTTCGTATTTTAATATAGTTTATCATTTATCATATAAAATAAGTGAAATTTGCTACGTGAGAACATTATTATATACCGTGAAGTATACTCGTATATCTATTACCAGACGAGATATTTGAATTAACCTTTCTGAATAGAGGCTATGTTCAACATTATAAATTACAATTTTCCAATGTTCTTTGCGTTTTCAAAAACTTGCGCACCGGCGATATGAGTAATTAAATCGCATCACAGAAAAGTTAGTAATCGCGCATCACACACAAAATATTTTCGCAGTGTAATAACCTTTTCACATTTCATAAATATTCCTGTATGTAGCCTATTTTCTCACCAGTAAATTGTAATATACAATAACCAGGGATATTTTTCATCTCTCTCATTTTTGAAATTCATCAAATTTGCATACGTAATTCCCAAGGTAAAGCGTAGATCTCAAGTAAGTGAATTTGAGTCAAGAAACTAAGGGAATTATCATCAACACAGATGATTTATCACAAATCCTCACTATTATTTCAACTTTGAAGTTGAGTCATTAATTTTCAGATAATGATTGTAGAAGGAAGATAAACCAAAATATGTGTGTAAAAATAAAAAAAAACATTAAAAAAATGTTACCTTGTTTGTCTTGGAGCACCGGCAGGCCCTCCCCTGTAAGGTCTTAAGTCTCCTGATTCACGAGCCCCTTGTACTATATTAACAAAGGCACGAGGGGTTGGTTGCACTCGATTGGGAAACCGATTCGCACAAATCCGTGATGCCGCGGCAGCATTTTTAAAGACTCCCCGTAAATAAGAATCATGTCCACAAGTTCAGCATTTTCGTAAACATGTGCCATTTTTTATTTCGTTTGAGCCACGCAACAAACACCACTATTCACTCACGCGTTACCGACTGACGAAAAACATCGTGATAAACGTTTCAAATTCTTTCGCTTTTTTGTTTCCGATGCGATGAACGATGAACCGATAACGCGGATTATATCCGTTGTTGCCAAACACGAGCACATAATATTATTATTGAGACAGGGCGGTACTCAAACTTCTAAAGGGCTATAACTTTGTTACTTTAATTTTACCAGAAAAATTTTAAAGAAAAAAAACATTTCTTTTGATCAGATCTACTCACTGTTAAAATAAATGACTCAACTTCGAAGTCACCCTGTAGATTAGAACTCCAATAATGCCATCTCTGAAGCAGATCACTTCATAGCCAAACTTGATACCTGAAGCGTCATGATGTTTGTACAGCTACAGAACGAATGCATCAAGGGAACAAGTGCTAGTTCCAAATGGACATCTTGTAGAAAAACCTGCATAATGTTGCTTTTCGTAATTTGTAACACCCCTGCGGAGCTCCATAGGAAATTTGCATACTTGGCAAATTAACCTTAAGCGCAGCGGCTCTTTCACACATGAAGTGGTTAATGAAGCACCAATGCTTTCATTCTTTTTCTTAAAATACTCCAGTAATTTTGGCAAAAACTGCCGGTATTGTTCGTTAGTTGTATTTTCAGGTACTGCTGTGTTTTATATTACGAAGACCTTTAAACTAATAGTAAAATTATAAATTGGATCGTGCTTACTTAAAATCTGTGAAAAATTCCAGTATAATGTTTATAAAGTAGATATGAATTAAAAAAAATATATATCTTGGCTCCTATTGATCGTGGAAGGCTTTTAAAATATGCGTTTTCTAACCCTAACCTATCCTGATAAACTTGTTAAAATAAATTATATTAAAAAATTAGTTATTCTAAACTTATAACCATAAAAATGGCTATTTTTAACATCATTTTTAACAACAATTTTGAAATAAATAATTAATTTTGGGCAAGAACGGTTATTTGAATAATTATATACTGAATTGAAATACTGAATTTTGTGCTTTTCCCATTGTTTATAAAAAACAACGCAAATCTGACTATCTTTTTATGTATTTATCTTTAGAAAGATCTACTTGAC